TTTCTCCCACCGCACCCTCTAGCTCCCCACAAAATGTGCAACAAGAGCAACTGGAAAGAACAGAGCAAATAGGTTGCAAGCTGCCTCCCACAGCACCTCTAAAATGTCTGAATTGTGTGAAATACGAGGGAGCTTCAAAAACTTCATGGAAAAATGGAATAAAATGATGATATATTTTTCCCATGAACTTTTTGAAGCTCCCGTGTACATAACCTGAGTTGCCTTCCAATTTCATCGATTATCTTCACATCGCCTGGTCAACAGAAAATTGCCAGCAAATTTGGACAGAATAAAATGTCCTCAAAAATGAATCTACAGGGTTACAGTTTTAGGCAGATTGCTGGAACCAGACTAAAACAAGGGATTGACTTTTCCTTTTGGCACTACCAAGACGATTGTGCAACACTTTCAAGTTGATGGAAAGGCTAGGTCAGCCAGAACCATGCAGTGCAACTGAAAGAAACTCTCTTTCTAACTGAGTTGGTTTACAACTATATCCAGTGATCTTTCAAAGACCATTGAAACCAACTTCACAGGAGGTTGATTGCACCAAGAACCCAATAGCTTGGTGAGGTTTTTCTCAACCTTCCAAATAATGAGGATCAGTCAACATCTGTATATAAAAAATCTTTATCAGCAAAAAAGTTTTATGGTCAACTCCATTAACCGTGGTTTATTAGCAATGCAACTCCCTAAAAACAGCAACAGAGGTAATGGCTGCTCTGTACAGTGGGCTGGCAGACTTCGTGAAGAGCTGACATCAAGAAAATGCATGCAACTCATTCTCCTTGATATCCAGAAATGTTGGCCAGCGAATGAGTCCTTAAATCTAGGGTTTTATAAGTAGAGCAAAGTAACACACTATCTTCCCAATCACCCGGCCCCACCACAATGTTCAGTTGTTTGCCAGGACAGAGTAAGCTTGCATGCTTATTTGGAGACATTATGGAAAAATCTGAGGTGCATGGTATTCATTACTAATTCAAAAGTCAACCACAGCAGCAATCCTATAAAAGAGTTTCTCAGAGAGTTCTCTGTACTGACAGCTACAATCATATGTGTGTTAAAAATATGCCACAAATTCTTTGAAACTATTCCCATCAAGAAATGGAGTCTAATTTCCCTTCCCTTAAATATGATCTGGCCTTAGTGACCTGGTTCCAATGAAGAAATGACGTGAAAGTGACATTATATGATTTCCAAGTTCTGATAGTTACAGTTCGGTGTCAATTTGATTGAACCAGGATTCCCAGTTGTTTGGCACTTGATAGTTAACTCTATGATGATTGGCTTTGAGCAGCCAATCAGCTAAAAGTATGCTTCCTTGGGGTGTGACCTGCTTCCAATATAATGGACATGCAGGGAAGACTCACTCTCTTCCCCACTGCATCTGGATCTCACATCTGAGTTGCCCTCCAACCTCTGGTTCTTTGAACCTGAGCCAGTAGCCTACCTACTACTGTGTTTTTGCCTGCTGAGCCTTCCCACTGAGTGTGCGCAGAAAACCAGACACCCACCAGAGGGCCGTGCACACCTTATTCTGTCTCCCCAGCTTGTGTGCTCCATGGCTCCAGTTCTGCCCAGGCCTTGGTCACCCATCACCATGCTGCCATCCCTGCTCCAGCACTGAAATCCTGCTCTGTGCCCTGACTTGGGATTCCTGCCTTCCAGGCCTACCCACTGATCTTGGTCCACCTGGCCTGTACTTGGGGCTCTCGTATCACTACAACTGTGAGCCATTTCCTTGATACAAACTTCTATTTTATTATTTATATAGAAATAAATAAATAAATATATGCATATGTGTGTGTGTGTATGTTGTTAAGTGTCATTGAGTTGGTTCCAACCCATAGTGACCCTGTATAGGGTTTCCAAGGAGCAGCTAGTGATCTTGAACCACTGACTTTGAGATTCAAACTGACTTTGCTCCAGCGCATTAACCCACATATATATGGAGTCCTGGTGTGGTGCTGTGAGTTAATGTGCTGGACTGCAAAGTCACTTTGAACCACAAATTCATTGGTTCAAGCTCACCAGATGCTCCTCAGAAACCCTATAAAGGGTCACTATGGGTTGAAACTGACTCAACGGCACTTAACAACAACAACAATACATATATATATAGGTTGCACTGGTTTTACTTCTCTAGAGAGCCCAGCCTAATACAGAAGTCTAGATCATAAAAGGAGACACAGCATTTCCTGTGAAGTTCAGATGCTGGGTTATGAGGAATCCCAGGCCAAGTAGAGAGGTCATATGTAGGTGTGCCAATTGACAGGGCCAGCTGACATCACAGCCAACAATCAGCATAAGCAGCTGATTTTATCTGTATCATCTTAACCATGTGAATAAGGTTGCCTTCGAGAAAACTTCAATTGTCCAACCACCACCTGAGTAAAAGTGCAGCAATGGGAGAGGTCCTGAGGGGAAATCACTTAGCTGCGGCCAGTCAGCTCTCAGAACCATGAGAGATTATGATAATCAGTCAACGCTGTTATTTTCAAAGAAAGGCCTGTAAACTATGACCCACGGAGACAATCTGGTCTGCACCTTATTTTTATACAGTCTGTGAGCAAAGTAGGTTTTAACTTTTTTAAAGAGTTGTATCAAAATAAAACAAAGAAAAATATACAACAGAGATGATATATGGCCCTCAAAACCTGAAATATTAATTTTCTGGCCAGTTATAGAAGAAATCTGCTAAGCCCTATTCTAAGTCACTAAGTTTTCAGATGGTTTGGTATTCAGCAACAGACAACTAGAACAGGTGGTGCGTTTGGGGAATGTTGGATTCAGGGAGCCATGAAAGTCAGACTGAAAATCCTCCGCCTGTTGTTGAGGATTTATCTGCAGCTGTTATCTTCAAGTCAGTACTTCTCTATCGATAATTACTATCATTTTGTTGTTGTTGTTAAGTGCTGTTGAGTCAGTTCCGACTCACAGCAACCCTGTACAGGGTTTCCAAGGAGAGGCTGGTGGGTTTGAACCACCTACCTTACAATTCAAACAGACCTCGTGGTTCAGTGCTTTATCCTACAGAGCCACACCAGGACTCCAATTACTATCATACAATATTATAATTTCACAAACAAACTTGCTCTGTCAAAGCAAAGGAGATGTTAATGTGATTCATCAACCAAGGAGAGTAATCTGAAACATGTAATTTGTATTCAATTGTAGATTAAATTTCAAGTTCTAGTCTACTTGCTATTAATACCAGTAATAATAGCTGGTATTACTGTGTCTTTACTGTGTACTAGGCATGTTCTGAGCTATTTCTTATATGAGAGGGTCTCAAAAGTTTGTGAAAAAATGGAATTAAAAGAGAAACAGAATTTTTCTATGGCATTTCTGAAGGTCCTCTTGTCATAATCAAGAAACCCCGTCATGCCTTAAAGAATGCTACTGGCTTTCAAAGGGAGGGTTGGCTTCCCTCGGTGGGTGCTATGAAGAAGGCTGTCTGTCCTAGGAGTCACGGTGCAGAACCTGGGTCTCTTACCCTTTTCCTCGGACAATAGCATTACTTTTTTTGTTGAGAGGATCTGAGGTTCCCAAACTGGTCCTCCTTGCAATAAACTATTCCTTTCAAAACATCTAAGGTTTCCCCAAATGTTTACTCTGGTTTCTGTCAATCACACATGGAAAACGTATGCTTACCAAATGAATGGTTGCCATGGAGATTGCAAACCCTTGGCTAAACAAGAGATCCATGAAGAAGCAATCAGTAGCCACATGTCAAGTCATTGTTTGGGTCAATTTTCTCTTTTATAAAATAGAGATGACATTCCTGTCTTGAAGATAAGCACTGGACAGCTGCTCTGTGGGGTAAAGCTGAGGCTTTCTGCTCCCACAAAGATTCACAGCCTCGGAAACCCTACACAGGGTCTCTATGAGTCAGAACATCCCTGATAGCACTGGAAAGCCTATACAGGGTCGCTCTGGGTCGGAATCGACTTGATGGCACTTAACAACAACAACAGTCTTTATAATGGATTGTGGAGACGACTAGAGCAGCAACATGCAAAGGGTCTCCATTAGCCTATCATTTTCTGGCATTCTGCTGTGGTGCTATAGGATAAGCACTGGACTGCTAAGCAAGGGTGGCAGTTTAAACCTACCAGCCACTCCTTGCCAACCCTATGCAGAGGCGCTATCAGTCAGAACTCACTTGACAGCGCTTACCACCAACAAAAACCACAACATAGGATTAACATTGGCCTGCTAACTGCAGTGGTTAAAACCCACCAGTCACTCTGTAGGAGAAAGATAAGGGGGGTCGTTGTTGTTAAGTGCCGTCGAGTTGGTTCTGACTCATAGCGACCCTGTATAGGGCTTACAGGGTGCTGTTGGTGGGTTTGAACCACTGATCTTGCAGTTCAAACCGACCTTGTGGTCCAGTGCTTATCCGACAGCACCACATCAGGACTCCACAGCTGTGTACTCCAGCAAATATATACAGTCTTGGAGACGCTATAAAGAATCACTATGAGTTGCAATTGGCTTGCTGGCCGTGAGGTTATAACTATTCTACTTTAACAAAGAAGCCACCTCTCTTTTAGACATTCTATTGAATCATTTCATTGCTCAGTACAATGTCATTAAGTAACTGGAAAATCTGTTTATCGCAAAGTAAGAGTTGATGCTTATCCAATATCTTCACATTTCAGTTACACAGTTTCCATCTTCCTTTATAATAAGGCTTTTCCACATTGGAGCTGTTGCTGGTAACTACCATCGAGTTAGTTCATGGTTTGAACTGCTGACGTCATGGTTAGCAGTCTAACGCTTATCCCACAGCACCATACCAGGACTCCTCCCACACGAGAGAATGTTGTTTTAATCATTTAAAAATGGATCCTTCACATTCTTTTCTTCAATTGAACTTGGCACAAATAACTTGGTGAGCGATGTTAGGAAGGAAAGGCAGACCTCTGCCTTCACTATGTGAGTGAGCAAAGGCCCTGCCCCCCAGACAGCAGCACAGCACTTTGTTTACTCACCAGAAGGGAAAAACAATGAGGCGGCTGATGAAAAATATGGCAGAGAAGACTAAAAACAGGAAATTGCAGGTTTGCCTCCATCCGGCATAATAAAAGAGCTTTGCAGACTGAAAACAAAGAAATAAGCTTCATTCAGATAATTAAAGTGATACCGCATTTCAAAGTAAATATTTTTAAATGAAATAGTATAAAGTCTTGGATTTACTTCAGAACAGTCTGGGAAGGGTACGAGGTGTGGATGGAGAACTAGATGAAACAGGATTAACCATACTGGTAACTGTTGAGCTGGCCCACAGGTTCTCCTGTACTAGTCCCCTGATCTCTTTATATAAAAGCATTTTTAAACTCTTCCATAAAATGAGGTTTAAGAGATATGTTCAAAGGATTATAGAATTACTCCTGTCTTTCACAGGGACTCCAGGCAGTGTAGCAGAATTAATTTTAACATGCATAGTATTTGGCCGTTTATTTCTATTGAACTCAGAGACAGCTGGATTGAAAAGAGGTCGGGATATGAGTGGAGCTCCTTGAAGACACATGAAAGAAGACGTGGGGTCATTAGGTAAATCCCAAAGCCTGGTCTGGGTGAAATAGTTTCAAACTCTACATTTTTTCCAACTTATTTTAGGATAATCTATACTGCTCATGGAGTCCTGGTGTGGCGCTGTGGGCTAATGCGTCAGACTGCAAAGTTGTTTGAACTGCAAGGTTGGTGGTTCAAGATCACCAGCTGCTCTTGGAAACCCTATATAGGGCTGCTATGGGCTACAATCGACTCGACGGCACTTCACAACAACAACATACTGCTCAAATTAGGAACTCTGTAGCTTAGTGGTTAGGAGTCAGGCTGCTAATGTCAAGGTCAGGAGTTCGAAACCGTCTCTTCTAGTCTTAATCCTGGAGTCCTGGTATGGCACCATAGCATAAGCACTCAACCTCAAGGTCAATTTGAACTGCAAGGTAGGCAGTTCAAACTCACCAGCCGCTCCTTGCAAACCCTATACAGGGTTGCCATGAGTTAGAACTGACTCAAGGACACTTAACAACAGCAGCCTTAATCATGGACTCCTGGTGTGGCACTGTAGGATAAGCACTAGACTGCTAACTGAAAGGTTGGTGGTTCAAACCTACCAGTCGCTCTTTGGAAAACCTAAACAGAGTCTCTATGAGTCAAAACCGACTCCACAGCACTTAGCAACAACAACAACATACCTTTGTAACTTTGTAACTCCCACCAAATGACTCTTTCCTAATGTGTCTGGGTAAGAGACAGAGGGAGAAGATGCTGATAGGATGACATGATTCAGTCATGATGGTTAACAGAGTTCACTGTGATTGTAACCACTTGGATTCTAACATGGGTATAAAATGAGGGAATCTCCCAACCACCAAAGAAGAGCCAGGGGTGGTCCATGTCCCGTGGCCCCTCAACTCCCTGATCCTGAACACTGTGACAGCAGAGAAGCAGCACCCCCCAGAACCAGGAGCCAGAGCCCGAGACAGAGCGGGGCGGTCTAGCCACTTATTTAGGGGACAGCTAGGTATGCTGACCCACGAAGCTAGAGCTGAGTGACTTCAGACTGAGGCTTATGGTGGAGTGGTATGTCTGTGGGCATATCTCAGCAGCCCTAAAAGAGTTTTGTAACACTGCCAAGCAAAGCAGACGGCCCAGGCAGAGAGCAGAGCTGAGGAAGGCTGTCCTGACTGGAAGAACTGTGCCCTGAGCGTTTTCTGATCCTGCACCGGAGCCTGTTAACTTCCCGAATACACCCCATGCCTGGCCTGTGGGACTGTAGTGTGGGCTCTGAGCTCTGTGCGGCCAGCACAACGATTAGTGAATCCAGCTGAGTCGAGTGCGCTGCTTTGGTGGGTTTGTTGGTTGGTTGGTTTACACTGAGGTTTCTCCATTATGGTATCCAGTGAGGACATAATGAAACTCTGCTTGTGTAGTGGGTTATGAGTGGGGCTAGTAACCACTAGATCAGCAGTTTGAAACTATGAGCCCTTCTGAGGAAGGAAGATGAAGCTTTCTGCTCCCGTAAAGACTTACAGCCTCAGGAAACCCTATGCAGAGTCACTATGAGTTGGACCCAACTCCACAGCACATAACCACCACCACCACCAGTGAGAGGCTGAGGCTGAAATTTTCTGATAGAGTAGGTAGCAGTTGTCGGGTGTTGTTGTGACGTGTCATCGAGTCGGTTCCGACTCGTAGTGACCCTGTATAGGGTTTCCAAGCAGCAGTTGCTGAGTTGCAATAGCTGACCCTGTGGTTCAAATGGACCTCATGGACCTGCGCATTATCCTGCAGTGCCACCCCAGGACTCCGAATATTGAAGTGGTGGTCATCTGACTGTGATGGGAAGTTGTTAAGTTTGACATTTTATTAGGGCTCAGGTCTTCAAACAGTAATGAGCTAACTTGCACGATATACCATAAGGGATAGATAAGACTTAAGTTGAGGAAAGAAAAGAAAGTATTAAGTGATTTGCCCAAGCCACATAGACAACTATGTCTTGTAAATGACAGGGGAAGGAAGGGCGCTCTAGCTCCCTCTTAATAACGCATTGAAGCTGCTTTTATAGTGGACATGCACCAAAGGCAACTCAAATGAAGGATTTCAAAGCAAGGGTGGGATACAATTCTTAAGGCAGGGCCAATGTGGTCTTAATTTTCAGGCAGTTCCTGAGATCTGATCAGAGAAGACGTTAACTATAACAGAGATGGATGCACAAATTAACACATGGAGAAGCTGCTACAATCCTCCATTTGCTAAAGCATGTGTTGCCCTGAAGCATTTCATAATCCTCACAGTTAAAAAGGGACTTACAGGTCCAACTCGAATTTATATATAGGTAGAAACAAAATTCTGTACAGTTAATATTTTAACAGAAGCTAGTTACTTTAAAATGACTTCAAACGACTTGTGGTTATATCTAGAGTCAGCAAATTGTAGCTCAGATCATGGACTGAGCTGTTTGTCCCTGGAGTTAAGAGCCGTTTTTTTTGTTGTTCAAAAAAGATGTAAAACAAATAAAGGCAAAACAAGAATATGTGACAGAGATTATATGTGGCTTACAATGCTGTATTTACCATCTGGCCTTTTACCAAATTTTGCTGAACTCTGATTTGAAAAAACAGCTTTATATGGAATTGAATTTCTTTCATACCAACCTACATCCAATCACTAGCTGTAAAGCGGAACTCTTGAACATGGGTTACTATCAATTTTCTAAGATTCGTTGTAAATTCGCATATTTTAATGAGTAACTAAGTGGCTCAGGGAAATGCTGCTCTTGACCAGCATGAACCTTCACATTGAAGAGGGTGCCTGTTTGGACAGAGGTGTAAGCAGAAACCAGTACACCACAAGAAAGGCCAGCCAGCAGTGTGCAGCTCATGCTTTGGACTCGAGATCCATGCTCTGGTATCACCTCTAGCTCCAGGAGACAGACATCTGTGACACAGGAGGCAGCAGCAGAGCCACGGAAGCAACGTGAGGCAGCAGAGGGGCCTCCTGATCCATGGAGTGAGCCTCTGGAGAGGAGGCTTGCTGGTGCAGTGGCTTGTCTCTTGACACTTGTCTGGGGAGTTAGGTTTGCTGATGCAGGAAACTGTCTCTGGCTCCTGGAGCTAGAGGTGATAGACTTCAGTGCCTTCAATCTGAGGCTTGCTGGCCAAGCAGGGTGTCTCTGGGCATTTGCTCAGCACAGCTAATAGCTTTGTAACACTTGCCTGAGCAGGGCAGAGGGTAAGAGGTTGTGTGGTCAAGAGGCTGAGATCCAGTGACACATGCCTCTGGGTGCAGTGGAGAAGCGTCCGTCCTGATTGAGGAACTGTACCCCAAGTCATTTCTGACACGGAATTTAACCTGCTAATTCCCTAGTACGGCCTATAATCATGAGTTTATCTGTGAGTTCTGTATGGCCGTTGCAATATATTACTGAAGCAGTAGCGAAGCAGAGTGTCAATGGAGGAATGGTTGGTGACAGAATTGGTACAAAGGTTTGAGGGCAGAAATAGGTTTGAACTTCGCCTCATAGGAAGTAGTCTTGGGCTGATCCTCCTCTCACCATGTGAAGTTGGAGGTCAGAGGCTGCCACCATGCCATTTTTACGTATGGCTTTAGAAAAAAACTTTGTTTTCATATTCTCTGTTCTAAAAGCATTCAAATTCTTTTTTCTTTTTAGGATATAATGTCATTAAAAGAATCACTTACTCCTTATAGCAATGGAGAAGATCAGTGGGGGAGAGGTGAAGTGCAAGTATCCAATGGTTATTAAAGCATTAGTTTGAGTGGATATAAGGTGCCTTCCAACTTTGGGAGTCTATAGTATCATACATTCAAGTTTTCCTTTAAAAGATTAAGCTTTATTCCTTCTTCAAATATTTCATCTTCCTTCCTGAGCAAGTGTTTGCGTGGGTATAGTTATTTTTAAATGGTGAATGTTTACCTCCAGCCAAATATCAGCTACATCATGCACAATCATCACGAGGGTCCCACTGCGAATATAATTTGCGCACCAAGAGAAGCTCATCAGACTAATAGCAGCCAGATGATGGATGACATGAGCTAGGTGATCCTAGATGGAGGGAATGAACGCACACCATTAACACTGAAAAATAACAGTCATAGAAAAAAAATTCACATCTGTGTCTTGACTTTCATTTTAAAGTTCAATTTAATTCTTGTGACCAAGTTCTCATTGATGAAGTCATTGAACTATGGGACAGCACTGTCCCCAAGACAACTTCAAATCTGCTGACACAACTAGACATGCACACGGCATATTTCTACATGCACTGACATCTATTCTCTATCTCTGCCTAAGGAACAAAAAAAGGAAGCCCATATAACTATGCAACCATTAAAATAAGAATTACTGCACATGAAAGTGAAATAACTTCATTAGAAAAGCTAGGCTAAGGAAAGCTACTGTAATCGAGTATAAACAAACCTTCTACATATACAATATAACTCAAACATTTTTCTCTAGGGAAGATATACAAGTGATCAGTAAAGATACTGAATATCATTATTCACCAGGAAAACAGAAATGAAAAGCATAATGAGCTGCTGTTGCACATCTACCAGGATGGCTAGGGTAGTACTAGTGGTGAGAATATGGAGAGATTGGTACCCTTACACATTCTGCTAGGGATGTAAAAGGGTGCAGCTTCTTTGTAAAACAGACTGGCAGTTTCTCAAGAGGTTCAACATAGAGTTACATAGAGCCAAGTAATTTTACTACTGTATACGTACATCTAAGGAGTCCTGGAGTGGCACTATGTATCGGCTAATGCGTCAGACTGCAAAGTTGTTTGAACTGCAGAGTCAGTGGTTCAAGCTCACTGGCTGCTCCTTGGAAACCCTCTATAGGGTCACTATTGGTCAGAATTGACATGACGGTACTTCACAACAACAAAGAGTATAAGGTTTCTTTATGGGGTTATAAAATATTCTAAAATTGTGATGATTATAGAACTTTGGGAATATACTAAATACCACTGAATTGTATACTTAAAGTAGGTGAACTATATGATATGTGAATTATATCGCAACAAAGCTGTTAAAAAATAAATGTAAATATGCGAGTTTTCTGACATTCAAACTAAAGGAGTAAACATGGTACTACTAAAATACCTTAAATTATTGAGTACTTACTATATGTACACCAAAAAGTACTTTCCGTGGATTCATTTACTTAGTTCTCAGAAGAACTAGAGGACGTAAGAACTACTATCAAACTTTATACTACCAATGAGGAAACCAAGTTCAGAGAGTTTAATCAACTTGCTCAAGGGGCAATAATTTTATGCCTCTGAAGATATGTGTTTACAAAACACACAATATATTTTTATATTTTGAAAAAGTGCTCAGTGCACCTATGATAAAAAAGGAAAATCAACTACTGTAAAAACAAAGGCAGGACAAATACAGGATCAACCTATGTGTTTATCTATGAAGACCATCTAAAAACTCATTATTTTCAATTTCTCCCTTGAGAAAATGAATCAATGAATTCTTAGCCTAAACTAAAGTTAGTAATAGTTCATCTATAGCTATTATTGAGTTATGTAGATAAGGAGATAATTTTTACCAGATTTTTCATGCTTAGAGTCTACAAGTTGATACATACATTCAGTCAAGCCATCTTGGTTCTATCCCTTTTGTATTGAATTAAACTTCATTTTATCATTCACATTTTACTACAAGACCATTTACATGGAGTATAGCATATAAATTATCTTCTCAGAGTTTGTATCATTTCATCTGTATTACTAATGTATCTGATGAAAGCTTGTGACTATATTCTGAGGTTCTGGCTTGCTGAAACAACAAATAGGAATGTGTAAAAATCAAACCGGCTCCAAAGTGCTCACTTTGTGAATTCTAAGGAGGCATTGGTAGTGTAGTGGTTACAAGTTGGGCTGTAACTCTCAAGGTCAGCAGTTCCATGGGAGAAAGATGAGGCTTTCTGCCCCCATAAAGATTTACAGCCTCAGGAACCCTGTGCAGGGTCACTATGAGTCGGAAGCAACTCCATGTCACACCACCACCACCACCACGACTCGGTTTCCCTCAGAAAGCAATGCTACTAATCCCCTAAGGAAGGTTTCCTCACATAGATCTTTGAAGAATTAAAGAAAATCTTTTCAAAGTCTTTGAATAAATAAAACATAATTATTTAAAATAGACTGTAACTAAAAGATGTGTTTGCAAACTGAAACCACCAGCACTTTTTCTTTGCATTCAAGAAACCAAAAGAAACGGACAACATAATGGATATTTCTATTCTTATTAAACAGTTAGTTTCTATACTGTTTTACTACAAATATTTATCAGGACGCCAAAGCATGAGTAGATCTGAACTATTGAGTGTATGTACTATACAGGAGAGTGTGATGACTCTTCAGGAGAAGTGCTGGACTGATAACCACAAGATCTGCAGTTCGAATCCACCAGCCACTCGGAGGGAAAGCTACAGTTTCTGCTCCTGCAAAGATTTAGACTTGGAACCCCTATGCCAGGACACCATGAGTTAGAATATACTCGACTGCGCTTAATAGCAACAACAAATGTACTACACTAAAGCAGCCCTGCTGGGACAATGGCTACTAACCAAAAGGTGGAAGTTCAAACCCACCATCTGCTCCGTAGAAGAAGACATGGCACCCTGCTCTTGGAAAGCCCTCTGAGGCAGTTCTACTCTGCCATATAGGGCGGCTATTAATCAGAGTTGACCTAATAGCACATAGTAACATGTGCTATAAAAATAAACAAAAAAGCAACAAAACACACAGTAAAACTAACAAAACTAAGGAATCTGGTGCTGCACTGTGGGATGAAGCACTGAACTGCAAGGTCGGTTTGAAATACAACATTGGCGGTTCAAACTCACCAACCGCTCCTTGAAAACCCCATACTTGATGGCACTTAACAATAATAAAACTAAACACATAAAAACACAATTTAAAGTTCAGAGTTTTGGACAGGAGATGAAAGTTGCTAAAGAAGCTATAAAAATAACTTTGCAGACAACAAGACACTTACCTTTCTCTTGATATCCGAGCCAACGCTAAATAGCAGAGACCAATAAAAACTCATCTCCAGGATGTAGTACCAGTACTGGGACGACAGCAAAGGCTGTGGGGGCACAAAACAAACTCACACGTTACTTTCAATGCCACCAGGTAAACAACACATTAACAAAGTAGTCACACATATTTAGGAGTCCTGGTGTAGCGCTGTGGGTTCATGCGCTACACCACAAGCTTGGTTTGAACTGCAAGGTCAGTGATTCAAGTTACCAGCTGCTCCTCAGAAACCCTATACAGGGTCACTATGGGTTGGAACCAACCCGATGGCACTTAACAACCACAACAATATGCATATTTACATTTCAATAGCCCCATAAAATAATGATTTATAATCTCTAACTTCCAAAAGAAATTAGAGACAATATTTTAAGCTATTTTGTTTTTAACAAGGTAAACACGTATTATAAAATCAAGTTAAATATTTTATTTAAATATTAACTAACCACCAGAAGTACAATAACCTTATTTTCATTCATTAAAAGGCGAACAGAAAGATAACTTTAAAATCCTTATTAAGAACAATGGCAAGACTGTACAGTTTTTCTTGTTTAATATTTCTTGAAAACTATTCAAAATCCAACGTGCTAACCTCTTTTCAGGTGAGAGAGTGGCAATCAGAACAGGACCATTGTCAAATGGGGCAGTACTGAAGCATGCACAATTAAGAACTCTAAAAAAGTCATTTGTGAAAAAATGAAATTTCTACAGCTAAGGTTTTCCTTAATAAACTCACAGTTGAGGGTAATGTTCTTACTTTTGCTGAATTGAGACATATTAATTGATGTGATAGATTATTACATTAATGGTTCCTAATGAATCATACTTCCTGATATCCATGCCCTTACATAGTCAGTCTCTTCCCACACTGATCCTGGGCTTGATCCTAGCCTTTGATCAAAAGAATATGAACAAATGTGATTCCAGTAGAGACGGCATACACACTACATGAGGAATCTGTTGGAGAGGCCACACAGCAGATGCCAACTGTCAAATATATGAATAAGGGCATCTGGGACATAAACCATCTCCTGACCAATCTACCAACTGACTACAAACTCATGACTGAATGCGGCTAATACCACTACCGCAGAAGAACTGCTATGCTATGCTTGGCCCCAATTGCCAACCCATATCATTAGCAAATAAATGGCACTAGTTGTTTTGTTTTTGTGTTTTTTTTGTGTGTGTGTGGGGGGGTGCTATGCATCAATAGATAACTAATACACTTAATAAGTAAAAATAAATTAGATATGGAAGAAAGGTAATAGAACTAGGCTTTTTAAGTCTATCTACTGATTGCCCAACCTTTTATTTTTTGATTGTTCGATACTGAGGCTAACACAGTCAAAGGGTCAACTCTTCTGGTCAATCCATCATCCTTGATAAGATCATGAAAGAATGAGAGAGATTTTCTGCTTCCTTCTATTACAAACAAGCCTGTATAACACTAACCCTATTTATAAGAAAAAACTTTAAAAATATACAAATAGTATATATTGTTTAATCTGCTTCAAGGCATCAGAGAGCAATCAAGACACCCAGCCCCTATGAAAGTAAGACTCCCAAATTAAAAATGCATTGAGACGCTGTGAGCTAAGTCCAACCATGTTTAATAAACTCCTGTTAACCTGGTTGACCAGCAGTATGGCAAGATCTGGAGACTCCTGAGCCCAGGGACAGAGACAGGGACATGGCCACAGAGGACTAGAGCAGAGAGTGGAGCATCCAGCTGATATGAAGTGAGAG